CAAAGTAGAGCAATGGGATGTATTTAACATTTGTGTAAAATGTATTCTAAAGAGTTACATTAAAATTAGTGTCTTCCTGCATCATGTAATTCTTAAAATGATATTCTGCTAAATATATGTAACTCAACATATATGGTTATCTTATCTAAGATATGGTAATAATATTAAAATATGCTTAAGCATCTGCTATTGTAGCAGTGACAATAATTGATGTATCTTAACCAATGGTATTAATATGGCAGTGCTGTTTATAGCTGGAGATAATTATCTTGGATAATTATCTTAGATGATACTACTTCTCTGTGGGGAGTATCACTTAGGAGAGTATGCAAATGGAGTACTCCTAAGCATAGGTAAGCATACTTAATTATTTTGGTGTTACGTACCATCTCAATAATAACTCCTCATAAGTGTATTCAAATAAATTAGATTTTTCATTCTTTATCTCTGTTTAAATCCCATTGCCATTCACCAGGGCTTTAATTTTTAATTTCAGTTGTTGCTTCTTCCTCAATCTGTAGTCACCGTCTTTCCATATATGATTATAATTTCAGATTTCCCAATGCAAATCTTTTCCATATTTCTAAGTAATTATTCTTCCGTCCTCTTCTTCATGTATCTTTCTGTTAGGGTCCTAGTTCAGGTTCTGGCATTTCATCTGTCAGAGACCCGCATGGCTGTTGCACTCTTTCGCTAATGAGCGTTTGAGTACTGCTCAGAGGTCAATGTGAGACCACAGGCCGGTGAGACCACAGGATCCTCCATAGAACTACTCACATAATGCATGAGAAGAAGGCTTCATCCATAGCTGTCACTAGCGAAGGTTGCTGATATTTGATAAAAGTTGGTGGCTTAGTTTGGTCTTTTGTTAACTTTTGCCATCCTCAACCGGTCCCGTAAGACAGAACTAGACAATGACATATCAACACAGTCAATATTATTATTTCATGAAGATTTTAACTCATAGGTGACAGAGCCAGTAGGACTGTAGGCAAAGTACCATTATGGCCCACTGTTGCTGTCTGTGTTTTCTTTGGTTTTCATCTGAGAGAGAGAAAATATAAACCAAGAGAATGTATCACTAAAGGATTTATCCATTGATCTACAAACTGAGGTGAAGGGAAAAGCAAATTGCAAGATTCATGCTAAAAAAAACAAGCTGCGACTATGGTGGACTAAAATAATTTTTCCAAAACAACTACCTTGGCCTATGTTTTACAATTTGTTTTTCAGTTCTCTTTAATTCCCTGTGTAGTGAACAACACCTTAAGTATTTGCCAATATATTACTTATTCATTTTATTTACAATACATAATGTAAGTTGATCCTAACTTTTCTGAAACCATATTGATTGAAGAAATATTAATTTATGTGTTATTTTGTGAGTATTTTTATTACTGTGGAGTGTTGTGATCAGAACTGGTAAACTTTACCATTGAGTCAGCTATTAATTATAAATTACAAATACAAATAACTCAACGTATTATATAGATTGCTAAACGCCCATTACAAGCTGGAACAAGATGGTACATGGACTAATGAGGTCTCATTTCATATTATGAATATTTGATTAATAACTAGCTGTTCAGAGTTAGAATTCAATATCAATAGTTGGGTTTTATTCATTTTGAGAATAATAAACTTAATAAATTTATTTTAAATGCCGCCTTCTATATGGCATTTAACATGCAAATTAGCTTTGACTTACATCACTGAAACCAACTTTTCTTTTTGTTTGGCATTTATCTTGAGAAACCTTACATACATTACTTGGCCAAAATTATTCGGAAGCCACTGATAATGAAGTTAGTTACTTCTGGAACATCTATTATGTATACAGATGTTTACAATCAAGTGCACAACTGTCTAGTCTCCATACACAAATATTTGCAATAGAATGACCTGTCATGCAGAGCATAAATATGGAATCACCATTAGATAGAACAAATATATTTGGGAAATTACCTGGTATGGGCTTCTGTTGTCAACTGTAAGTGCTGATATCTAAAGGAGCAAAAAGACCTTTGAGAATTGGGATTCCATGTATCACAGAATAGGACAACAGAGCGCTGAAGTACTTAAAATGTCAATTCACGCATTCATCCCTTACAATAGAGTTCTAAACTGCCATTGCAAGTATTTTAGCACAAGAAGTGCACCCCCAGTTATTTACAAGATAGGTTTCCATTGCCAAATAGTTAAACCCAAGCCTAGAATGTTATCTTGCAATAACAACAAGCACCGGCTGGAATAGTGCAGAGATTCCATTGGACCCTGAAGCACATTATTTTGAATCATGAATTGCAAGTCACATGTGCCAGTCTGACAGACAACTCTGGGTCTGGTGGACAAGAAGAGATTTTACGGGAGAGAACCAACTGTAGAGATATACAGCTTTCAAAGCAGTGTTTTAGTTTTACATTACAACTATACACTGATCAGCCACAAAATTAAAACAACTGACATGTGAAGTGAATAAAATTTAATATATTGTTACAATGTCACCTGTCAAGGGGTGGCATATATTAGGCAGCAGGTGAATAGTCAGTTCTTGAATTTCATGTGTTGGAAAAAGGAAAAATAAGCAAGCGAAAAAAGCTGATTGACTTAGTGATGGCAAGACAATTAGGTCAGAACATCTCCAAAATAACAAGTCTTGTAGGGTGTTCCTGGTATACAGTAATTAGTACCTACCAGAAGTGGTGCAATGAAGGACAACCGGTGAACTGCTGTAAAGGTCATAGACATCAAAAGCTCAAAGGTGCATGTGAGAAGTAAAGGCGAGCCTGCATGGTCCGATCACAAAGAAGATCTACTCTAGCTCATAATGCTGAAAATGCTGGCTATGGTTGAAAGGTTTCAGAATATACAGTTTACTGCATATGGGCTTTTTAGCCGCAGACCCGTCAGAGTGTTCAAGTTTATGCTGGGAAACCTTGGGTCTTGGCATTCATGTGGATATTACTTTGACATGTACCCCTTACCTAGAAATTGTTGCATACCACATACACCCCTTTTCATGGCAATGGTGTTCCCTGATGGCAGTGGCCTCTTTCAGTAGATAATGCACCCTGTCACACTTCAAACATTGTTCAGGAATGGTTTGAGGAACATGACAAAGAGTTCATGGACTGTTGCCTTGGACTCCAAATTCCCCAGATCATAATCTGATTGAGCATCTGTGCGATGAGCTGGAGCAACAAATCCAGTCCATAGAGGCCCCACCTTGCAACATGCAGGACTTCAAGAATCTGCTGCTGATGTGCCAGATACCACACATCATGTTCAGAGGTCTTGTGGAGTCCATTCCTTTAAACCATCAGCTGTTTTGGCACACAGAATTAGGAAGTTGGTTTTAATGTTGTCGCTGATTAATGTATGACTTTTATATTTTAGCAATATCTTGTAATATACATGTACAGTAACATGTAATATACACAGGGCCAGATTAAGAGCCCAGTGGGCCTGGTGCTGACAATTCTGACGGGCCTAATTACAGAATCATATAGACCAAAAACAGTAAAACACTCATAAGCATCATGTATCTGATGGAGATGGTGCTGGAGAGAAAGAAAACAGCAGCTATAAGAAAACACATACCCTAGGCTAATCTCTCTCTAATTTATGTTTTCAGCTTTCAAGTAAATCCATAACCCCTAACAGCAACGTCCAATCAAGCAGGAAGTCAATGGGCACGGTAAAAGGGTTTGCCACTGACACAAATCACATAACCTGCCAAAATGGGCAAACATGCCCAAAAAGAGGACATTTCTGCTCAAAGAATTAGAAGGCCAGCCTGACATGAATGCATGTCAGGCTGCCTGCCAATCATGCAGCTGGCCAACTAAGGGCATACTATGCAGACAACACCCTGAGCTTGGCATAAATGCATCTAATGATGCGTTCACTCAACGTTTTCTAAGGACTGTCCCCTAGCACTCGCTGGTCCACTTGTCTCCTTACCTTCTTACTATCAGGCAGAAGATCCTGGTATATGGTCTGGGACAGAGTAAAGCTATATGTAGTGAGTGTAGAAGAAAGGGAACATGCCACAGTGTTAGAGAGACCAAAGTCAGCATTACCTTAAAGGATCACTATAGGGTCAGGAACACAAACATGAATTCATGACCCTATAGTATTAACACCACCATCTAGCCCCCCTGGATCCCTCATGCCTCCATAAATATAGCAAAATCTATATTCAAGCCTGAAGCTGTAACTTGGCATGCTGTTAGACTCATAAAAACAAGCAGTCTGCTGACATCATTAGAAGTGGTGGCCTGATCCAATCACAGTGCTTCCCCATAGGATTGGCTGAGACTGACAAAGAGGCAGATCAGGGTCAGAGCCAGTATGATTCAAACACAGCCCTGGACAATCAGCATCTCCTTATATAGATGAATTTCATTAATGAATCTCTATGAGGAAAGTTCAGTGCATGCAGAGGGAGGAGACACTGAATGTTTGGATGCCTTTTAGGCAGCCATGACCCAGGAAGGATCTCTAACAGTCATCTAAGGAGTGGCCAGTGAAGTTATCACTAGGATGTAATGTAAAGACTGCATTTTCTCTGAAAAGACAGTGTTTACAGCAAAAAGCTTGACGGTTATGATTCTACTCACCAGAACAAATTCAATAAGCTGTAGTTGTTCTGGTGACTATAGTGTGCCTTTAACTATATTCATTGTCAGCTAGTCCACACAAGTTTTGTTCCCATACATCCCACTTAAGTTTCCATACTTAAGTAAGAGTATGTGAAAAGTAGTTAGAGTTGCCACCTTTCTTGGAAAAACATACCGGCCTTACTAATTTGCCCAATTAAATATGTATGGATGACATCACATGATGTAAATCACAAGGAGTGATATAAGAGAAAATGCTGTAAAATCACCAAAAAACTACTTAGTTTGATTCTACTGTACAGATGGATTCCTCCCAGTGCCCCCATGTCTCCCAGTGCCCTCATGACTCAGTGCCCCCATGTGTCAATTACTCCAGGTCTCAGTGTTCCTATGTATCAGTGTCTCAGTGACCCATGTCTCCCAGTGTCCCTTAGTGTCTGCCATAATGTCTCCCAGTGTCCCTTAGTGTCTCAGTGTCTGCCATAACGTCTCCCAGTGTCCCTTATTGTCTGCCATACTGTCTCCCAGTGTTTCTTAGTGTCTCAGTGTCTGCCATATTGTCTCCCAGTGTCCCTTAGTGTCTCAATGTCTGCCATAATGTCTCCCAGTGCCCCTTAGTGTCTCAGTGTCTGCTAAAATGTCTCCCAGTGTCCCTTAGTGTCTCAGTGTCTGCTATATTGTCTCCCAGTGTCCCTTAGTGTCTCAATGTCTGCCATAATGTCTCCCAATGTCCCTTAGTGTCTCAGTGTCTGCCATAATGTCTCCCAATGTCCCTTAATGTCTCAGTGTCTGCCATATTGTCTCCCAGTGTCCCTTAGTGTCTCAATGTCTGCCATAATGTCTCCAAGTGTCCCTTAGTGTCTCAGTGTCTGCCATAATGTCTCCCAATGTCCCTTAATGTCTCAGTGTCTGCCATATTGTCTCCCAGTGTCCCTTAGTGTCTCAGTGTCTGCCATAATGTCTCCCAGTGCCCCTTAGTGTCTCAGTGTCTGCCATATTGTCTCCCAGTGTCCCTTAGTGTCTCAATGTCTGCCATAATGTCTCCCAATGTCCCTTAATGTCTCAGTGTCTGCCATATTGTCTCCCAGTGTCCCTTAGTGTCTCAATGTCTGCCATAATGTCTCCAAGTGTCCCTTAGTGTCTCAGTGTCTGCCATAATGTCTCCCAATGTCCCTTAATGTCTCAGTGTCTGCCATATGTCTCCCAGTGTCCCTTAGTGTCTCAGTGTCTGCCATAATGTCTCCCAGTGTCCCTTAGTGTCTCAGTGTCTGCCATAATGTCTCCCAATGTCCCTTAGTGTCTCAGTGTCTGCCATAATGTCTCCCAGTGTCCCTTAGTGTCTCAGTGTCTGCCATAATGTCTCCCAGTGTCCCTTAGTGTCTCAGTGTCTGCCATAATGTCTCCCAATGTCCCTTAGTGTCTCAGTGTCTGCCATAATGTCTCCCAATGTCCCTTAGTGTCTCAGTGTCTGCCATAATGTCTCCCAATGTCCCTTAGTGTCTCAGTGTCTGCCATAATGTCTCCCAATGTCCCTTAGTGTCTCAGTGTATGTCTCCTTGCAGCCTTTCCCCCCATCCCTTACTTCCCTGAGCTGTAGGCTGTCTCTGCAGGGTGGGAGTTGCTGTCTGGACTCTCTGTAGCTGCACCCCTGCAGAGCAGTGAGTATAGATAGGCAGGGAGGGATATGCTGAAACTTCCTATCCCTGCATGTCTCCACACACAGTGACCCCCTACTGGCCAGTGCTGGTATTGCAGGGTAATCTCTTGTTTATACTGATAAAAATACCAGCATTTATATTGCCAGTATAACTGCAATATTGGCACCGCCAGGCAGCCCCAAATACTGGCTGCGCCAATAAAATAAAAGCCAGGTGAAATCCCTAAGAGTAGTGTGAAAAAAAAAAATGTAAAAAAAAAAAAAAGTAAAAAAAAAAAAAAATTATTATTTTTTTTTTTTTTAAATCAATGGGCCTATTCCATGGGCCTGGGCCTGGAGCTGCAGCTCCATCAGCCCCTATGTTAATCCGGCCCTGAATATACACATTGCTGGTGGACCTCAATATTAAAAACATAGTACACTCATGTTTGTGCTAACTATCTGGGAAATGACACATTCTAAGTTTGGAATAGCTCAGAAAGTGATATCTCTGAATAATATAACGTAATATAATATAGAATACATAATATATAACACAATATACATACAAACATATGTTCACAGTACTCTACAGAACTTTATAAAAAGTATGCATTCTTCCTGAGCCAAGTGGATTAAGGGGTCGGTGACTTGCCACTTCCGTTCTGGTCCGTCCGAATCTTTGCACCATGTGTTAGGAGGAAGCCTCAGATATGAAAAGGAGGGGAAATCCATGAAAACCATGAGAAGAATGTCAACTCCAGTATCAATTAGACGAGGGAAATCAAATACTGAATTATTAAGTGTAATTACAGGCAGGATTACTTCAATAGCCGCAGCAATTTTGCAGATGATTGCTGGAAAACATGAGACAAAGGAGCTCCTTTAATCTTTCCGGCAAATCTATTTTTACTCCAGGAATGCTTGCTGCATATTCTTGAGTTTGCGTTTGCATGGAAATTGGAACTATACATATATATATGTATATATATATATATATGTGTGTGTGTGTGTATTTACATGTATTTGCTATATATGTTATTAATATAATGCAAAGTAGGTAATCTATATATATATGTATATTCTAATTTGTATTATATTAAAAATGTTATAGCAAATACATGTAAACATATACATTCATTAACAATGCAACAACACATTCTGCAGCGTTTTCCGCAACACATTTCCAAACAGTTGAAAAACGCTTTAACTTCTGAAGGTAAGAAGATGCCCCGAAACTCCTGCCCTATAAAATAGCTTCATTGAGATAATGTTGTTAGAGAGGTAGGAGTGTTCCTTTAAAATGACTTGTGATATATATGTATATATACATATAAAATGTTCATACATTTCTTATTAGACATTTACCACGAAGAGCCTCTATTTACATATTTCAACATTAGAGGTTTTTTTTTGTTTTATTTGTGATACTTTGTGAAGGACCAATGAAATCTAACAAAAGCACAGGTAAAATAAAATGTAAAAACATGCACATTCCCTGGGAATGAAATGTCATGCATTATTAAATATATATACTGTTAGACAGTGTTCAGGCTAAGGCGTGGATAATTAATCCATTGAAACATATCAGCAATACCATATACCTCACATATCTCTCTTTCTCGAATGTCTGCTAGTGTGTGTATGTTGGTGTGTTTTGGTATACGTGTTTCTGTGTATGTGTGTTTGACATTATGTATTTGTCTTTGTGCTTTTTGGTTAGATGTGTGGCAGTTTGTATCTGAGTGTGTATCTGCAGGGTGTACTGGAATCTGTGTGTTTGTATTAAGCAGTTAGTATCCTTGGCAGTGTATTTCTGTGTGTGGGATTGTGTGTGCCTGGAAGTTTGTATAACTGGAGGATGGACCCTTCCATTGTTCTTTTCAAATAATATTTATTATAATTTTATAAAATTTTCAACTAATTATAAAAACATTTTGTTAGGGGTAGGGGAAGGAAAGGGAAACTTGAGAAAGTGGGAAGGGGTAACCATCCATTGTAATGAGAAAAAAAATGATGTACATGACATAGATTGTACAATGATACATTTCAGCATTAAATCAATGTTTTGCAAACGATGGACTTTTTAAAATTTATTCTTCCCATTTATCCCAATCATATTTTAGTTTTGCGATAGAAAGTGTATTGCTCCTGTGTGATTATTTGTGTGCTTTATTATCTAAAATTAAGTTCATGACTTCTTTAAATGATGGTGTGTCTTCTGATGGTGTGTGTGTGTGTGTTATATATATCTATATATGTATATATACAACACATGCATATTTAATAATTTCAATTTTAAAGCCCTTAACAGTTCTGTTAATAGTGTTTGCTGAATATTCGATTAGAGCCAGAGGAAGAATAAGAATGTTGTCTGCAGTTCTGCTGTTCTATAGATAGGGTGATGATGCTCTGCACACAATATATGCAGCACTGGAAATAGAGTGATAGTCTGCAAGTTCTGTTAGAGAGAATGGATAAAGCTGTGCAGATCTCCTCCCACAGAACATTAGAGGAGTGTTTTTCTTGGCTCTGTGATATATTGTTTAAACCCAATGTTCCATTCAAAGCTCATTTTTACTCGATCAATAACCAATTCATATTTAATATGCCAGCACTGAACTTGCTGCTGATGTTATCTGCTCTTTAAACAATGGGATTAATTTATATTTCATGCTGCCCTTAGAAGTAAGAGCATTAATTGGGCAGTAAGTGCCTGCTATTAAACATCTCTCTTTCCTTTTCTCAGAACCTCACAGACAGCTCTGCGACTTCCTGAAATGCTTTGGAAGACTTGTTTCTGCAAGCTAAACCTCGGTACGTGCAGACTGCTGCAGCACAGGCAATGTGGACCATTTTGCCCTTGGAAATCATGGTCACCCTTTGGGAAACTCACACAAGTTTATTCGTTAAACAGTAAATTTTACCAAATTAGAAGTCAAATTGTAATCGAAATCAAAATAGATCAAACCAGCTGATATGGAAAATATCCAGCTTTAACACAGCTTAGTGATTTAGCCTACATTTAATAATTCACTGATTAATTTATTGCAACTTACAGTTTAGGGGATTAGCACTACAGGAAAGGAATGCGGATTTCCACGCCAAAGTGGAAAAACTCTCAATCTCAGGCCTTCAATTTGCAGTAAAACCCCATCAGTGTTAAAGGTACACTAAAGGCACCAAGACCACTTTATCTCAAAGAAGGAGTCTGGGTGCAGTGACCCTGGAATTTGTGCCCTGCCATGTAAAATATTGCCATTTAGAACAAACAGCAATGTTTTGATTGAAGGGTTAAACATGCCTTATTTTGTTGTCTTCCTAATGACCACTAGAGGTGCTTTCACAGGTATAGCAAAGTTTGAACTGATCGTGGGATATCTGATGTCCTCATGCAATGCGTTGAATGTTATCAAATGCTAATCATAGGAAAGCATTGGATTCAATGCTTCCCTATGAGAATGATTTGAATGGATGAGTGTGACAATTGATTGCATGTTCTTTTTATCCTCAGTGCTTTTCTATGAGAATCATCACATTAGACTAGAAGTGGATGGCAG